GTTCTTGCAGGGCTAGCAGCCTGTGGAGTCATGATGAACATTGTTTCAACAGCCTCTGACCTAATGCAGGATTTCAAAACTGGTTATTTGACTCTGGCTTCACCCCGATCAATGTTTATAAGCCAAGTGATTGGCACAGCATTTGGTTGTGTCATTTCCCCTTGTGTCTTTTGGCTGTTCTACAAGGCGTTTGATGACCTGGGGAATCCTGACGGTGCATATCCAGCTCCATATGCTATTGTATTCCGCAGCATGGCATTGTTAGGGGTACAAGGTTTCTCTGCTCTACCAAAAGATTGCCTCTTGCTTTGTTATGTGTTCTTTGGGGCAGCCATCCTGATAAACTTAATCAGGGATGTGGCGGGTAAGAAAGCAGGCAAGTTCATACCAATTCCCATGGCAATGGCAATACCTTTCTACTTGGGTCCGTACTTTGCCATAGACATGTGTGTTGGCAGCTTGATATTGTTTGTCTGGGAGAGGGTAAACAAGGCCAAGGCAGATGCTTTTGGGCCAGCAGTGGCTTCTGGTTTGATATGTGGGGATGGCATATGGACTTTGCCTAGTTCAATACTTGCTTTAGCAGGCGTTAAGCCCCCAATTTGCATGAAGTTTCTGTCAAGGGCAACAAACGATAAAGTCGATAATTTCTTGAGCGGTTGAGCCCATAAAACCCGAGGTCAGCCTATGATACATATATATGCATACATTTGATCGTGCATCCAATGTTGTACCATATTTCTAAATTTCGTTTTCTGTTTTTCCACTGTAATATGGTTAGTATGGTAAAGAGAATCATGTTAAGATGAACTGTTCCTCAAACTAGGAAAAAAGATTGAAAAATTATGTTTGTGTATTTGCGTATGCAGCATGTCTTTGAATGTCAGAACTTAAAACAACTTTTATGCACTTTACGGTATTTAGTCTTATTTTAGCAGGGATCCCAGTACTTCCAAGTTCCAACACATGATAATGTTACCGGGACTGTGTCCCAATAGTTCGCCCCAAGCCTTAGTGCTTAGGTGAGGCGTGGTTAGAGGTTCGAACTCTATTATCGTCGTGAACTCCATCAAAAATAGCTTGATGACTGTGTGCCTTATTTGAGGGGGTGGAATGTTTACCCGATCTGAAAGATCCCAGTTGCTAACAATTAACTCATATTAACTTTCTAACCATTATCCTTGTCAAAAAAAAAAAAAAAACACATGATAATGTTTTTCTATTGGGTTTTTTTATTTTTATTAGTCAAAGTATTAATTCTAGTTCTTGAACTTTTTTAAAGGATAAATAGTCTTTATACCCTTTTTTTTTGTACCATTTGTGTCCCTCAACATTTCAATTTGGTCCCAAAATGGTTCTTTCCATTAAAACATCTAGTCCTTCCTTTAAAAAATCCGTTGACTCTAAATACGATGGTGCCATTATTTGCAATATTGGCCCCTTGACTTACATTCGATTGCTACTCTAGTTCTCAGACTTCTAATTTTTTCAATTTGATATCAAATTTTAGTTTTTCTTCTACTCATATACCAATAAAATTAAGGTTTCAAAGCACCAATCTTTTGCATGAAAATTCAATCCATCAAACTCTGTAAAATTTTAAATGCTGTGGCAATTTCACTTAGGCTGCAAAATTCTTAATTTTATTTGTTATGATACCTTAAATTTTCATCTGAAAATTTTTGTTTCAAAAGTGGAAAAATCAAACTAAGAATACTATTATTGAATGAAGGGCAGGGACAGATCTAGCGTAGGATCGGAGGCAGCCGCCTCCTAAGCTTTGAAAAAGTGTCAAATATGATGCAATAATTTTTATTTACTAAATTTATATTTTTGGAATCTGAATTATAGGGGTCAATTCAAATATAAAGAAAATATTTAGGATTTAAGTAAAGAGGCCATTTCTCTTCTTGTAACCAATTTTTAAAACATGATAATTTTATCTTGATAAGAAAAAAAATTAAAAAAATACTCAAGATCTAGGTATAATGGTGTAATTTAAATAAATTTTTACATTAGTTATAATGTTATATACAATTTTGTGTCCAATTTATACTCTATCAAACCAATAATTGAATTTAATATTTTATTCATATAAATTACATGTTTTATATTTAAAATTTATTTGACATATGTAATCATATGAAAAAATGAATTATATTTTATGTTATGTATTCCCGAATTTTAAATTATATATTATTAACAAATAATTAAATATATTTAATTAATTTAAAATTTAACATGTATAAGATATAAGAGTAAAATTAATAATTTATTTTAAAATTAATAAAAATTATAGCAGTATGAACTGATTATGACTCAAGAAAATTTCAAAATCTCTCCCTCATTCAAAAGGACTTGTGAATTGACTAGGTCCTTAGCACATGTCCTCTATTATATGTGCCATCACCTAGAATATTCTCGGTAATTAATTGCCATTGTATTGCTTGGAGAATGCTTGGCAAGGGACAGGTGGCAGGAAAACTAGAAATGGTTGAATATTGAGAAATAATACAAGAAGGATTCTAACTTTTAAAAGTTACTAACTAAAAATCTAAACATTTTTTTTTTGTTTCTAATAGAAGATCTCAACTTTCTCATTTTCCTTTTTATCGACTCAAATTCATCAATTATACACACTACAACATTTTTGCCATTTAGTTACGAACAAAAATTGTATGTATATGACAAAAATCTATAGGTATATCTCATTTGAGACCTATATCTATGGAGAGAAAAGTGTAACTATATGTTCTGTAGCTATAGATAATTAACTACATAACTGTACATATTTCTACAATATTATAAGTCATAGGTAAAAAATTAATGATCATATACCTATATTTAAAAAATAGTAAATAAAATAAAATACCTACAATATACACTCGTAAGTAAGAATAACAGCAACAACATAATAATGGTTATCTTAGTTTTTAATAACTATATTTATCATTACTAAAATTATTTTATAACAACACCATGAGTCGTTACCTAAAGTATAATTATATAACAAAAATAAGTTGTTATGCAAAGAAGTTCAATACCCAAAAAATGTTGTTACAAAAAAAGAAATTATACAACTAAATTAGTCATTATTAAAGGTATATTTTCACAACCATTACAATTATTACCAAAAATTATTACAGCAACCATTTAAAATGTAGGTAAAAAAGGTTTTTCCTAACTTTGTAAATTATCTTAGAAAATGAGATTTAGCAACAATTATATGTGGCTTCCATATAATAATTTAAATAACGTCATCCACTGTTTTGTAAAATATGATTTAGTAACAATATTAATAGTTACACTATAAATATATAGAAAAACTAATGATTGTTGCAAAAAATATATTTTCTCTACCATGTTGAACTGTTGGTAAAAAATTTATTATGCAACTATTATAATTGTTATAAAAATATGGTTTTAGCAACCATTTAAAATGTAGGTAAAAAGGGTTTTTCTTAACTTCATAAATTAGCTTAGAAAATAAGATTTAGCAACAAAAATATGTGGTTATTATATAATAATTTAAACAACATCATCCACTGTTTTGTAAAATATCATTTAGTAACAATATTAATAGTTACACTATAAATATATAGAAATATTAATGATTATTTTAAAAAATATATTTTCTAACTACAAAATTAGTTTCAAAAAAAATATATCGTAACTAAAGTTTTTGCTATCTTAAATTCTATTTTGAAGTAAATATAATCACTTTAAAAAATAAATTTAAAATCAACAATTGTTGTAGAAGGGTAAATTTCTCAACAAATATTTTATCATATAATATCTTAGTTGTGAAAGGTCATTGAAAATAATATTTTAGCATCAATCAATATATATAATTAACATATTTTTAAAATTTAATATTAATTAAATAGCTTTTAAAGCATAATTAATTGAATTTACATTAATAAAAAAATAAGATTATAAAATTAAAACACTTTATTAAATTAAAAATAATATTTGACAAGACATAAGTCTAAACAAAATAAATCCTCCAGAAAAAAGCATTTACACTTTATATTTATTCCAAATTTGTAAAATTATCAATCCAACTATTGTAATTCTCTTTCTCATACTGTAATCGGATATTATTTAATAATTTTTCTCCATATTTTTCTCTTTTTGCCAAAATTTCACTCTTTTCTTTCTTGAGAGATTGCAATTTTTGTTCTAATTCTCTGATCCTCCTTCATTGATTCACAAGCTCAGATAAAAGTGAGTGTTTCCTACCATTACCAACTCCATGGTTAGAGCTCTTATGCAAAACATGATCATATATCTCTTTATTTGACATTTCAATTCCTCTTTTTGCATTTTCATCTAGCAAACTTTGTATGCGTTCTTGCAATACATATATAATATGTTAGTTATCCTTTCTTCTTCCAAAAAAATAAAAAATAAAAATTTATGAGTGCATGTTTTTATAAATATTGAAATGGATTTGTATTACCCTCGTACATTCCTTTTTTTAACTTTTGAATTTGGATATTTAAAAAATAAGAAAAATCTACAAAAATAGAATTTGAATTTGATTATGTATCTCTAAGCTCTACTTTGAATTGACTTTTAATTTAAATTAAAATTTAAATAATTAAATTTTAGTATGTTAATATTAACTGTGTCAGACACTAAATCTTACTAATCATCTAGTGATTGCGTTGATTCATTATCTGTTATGTGTTGATTTGTCATATGGTTGTTGTGTTGATTCATTATCACTGTTCCTAACAACATCCTCAATTCTGTTGAAATAATTATCTAACTGAACTTCATTAGTAAATCGATCTTTTTTGACATAAACTTTTTCACTTTTCATGTTGGAAAAAAAATTACAAAAAATAAAACTAAAACTTTTTAAAACTCAAACAAATTTAGAGTTTAAAAATATAATTGTATACAATTAAATATATATTTTTAAAATATATTATAAAACTGATAATTATATATATATATATATTTATATTTGATATATGAAACATGGAGAAGCTTCGTGAAATTGCTTTAATAGAAAAATGCATCGAAAATGAGATTAAAAGAAAACCTCTATCTTTTGTACTCCCTATACGAAAATATGTTTGCTGGAGAATCAAAGAGCAGGTTTGGGAGAAGTTTATTTACTTATATATTTATAAGAAGATCCAAAGAAGTTGTTAAAAGGGTAGTGAAAGCATACCTGTCTTTCGTACTCCCTCTTAGAAAATATCTTTGCTGGAGAATGAAAGAACGGGTTTGGGAGAAGTTTTTTTACTTATTTATGTATAAGAGATCCGAATAAGTTGGTAAAGAATAGTAGAAGTCTATTGAATTTTTACTAATTGATTTTTTCCTTTGATATCTGTGTATTAAGTGATTTATTATGCTATTTTAATTTTTTTTGTCTATCAAAAAATATCTTTTCCTATTTATAATTATCAAAATGTTTTATTATTGATATAATTCTATATATTTAATTAGATTTGTCTCAATTAAATACTTATTAATAAAAAAAGTAAGATATTTAAAAAATTAATGACTTGCATTAAAAAAATAATTTATTTATTTATTTACTTATAAAATTAAATAAAAATGCATATCCATCTAGACTTTTAAAAAAATTAGAGTTTTAATTTTAAATTATTTTATTTTATTTAATTAAAATTTAATTCAAAATAATTAAAAAATTATCTTATTAAATGTTGATATTTAGATTTAAAAATTAATTATATTAAAATATATAATGGATTTCTAAATCTAAATATCAATATTTAATTGAATAAGACTTCAATTTTTAGATATAGATTGAGATTCTAATTATTTTTAGATATAGTTGAATATATAAGACTTTTTTTTACTGGA